CCTAAATCGATAAATACACTCTTAGTATCAGATTGAAAGATTAGTTTGTGGATAATCAGCTATATATAATTATTGTTACATTACGATCTGGCTTTTCTTTCGCGGTTGTTGCATAATTTTCTACCAACTGTTTATACATTTATCATTTGGAAAGAACCTGGCTGTAATTTAAGTTTCACACACCCAAAGTTTACATCCAGAAGAAGGTGTAAGAACAAACGCTGTAAAAGCGTTCTTAAATTAAAGGAGCTAATCACGGTTTGCGCATCATCTTGAAAAGTTTAGCCTAAGTTTGTCNAAAAGCAGTGAGGTCTGTATCAAAACAAGGTCAACTCTAGCCTCGCTGCCATACAAAGGCCAGGTCACTGAGCAGACAACTGTAAAATGGTCTATTTGTAACTACGATTTTAGATGAAAGTATATGTAATATCCCAGAGAATTCTTTTGTCTTTTCCTCCAGCTCATAATGTGAAATCATGTCTTGAATGGTTCTACTGAAGTGGGTTATTAAAAAACTCACAGACAAACAGAGGGACAAGTGTACAATTTATTGATAGATAGATAGATTGATTGATTGGTTGATTAATAGATTGATTGATTGATTGATTGATTGATTGATTGATGGATTGATTGATCAATAGTTTATCATTATTGACTAGCCGACTGACTAATTAAATGGCTAATTGAGAACAGTAGGGGCTGAGTGGAGAGGCATTCTTTTATTTACAGAGTGCTGTTGAAAGTTGTCAACAGTTCAACCATGAAGCATTTTTTAAATCAAGTTATGTTTTGTAGGACATGTCAAGTTATGTGAAAAAAGTTCACTTTAAACTTCATGAAAGTTATGCTAATCCCTTGAGAGGTAAGAGATGTGAGGACTAATGAATCAGTTTTCAGTGGATATTTTTGACTCTCCAGTCACCAGATTTATGTTAACTGCTTTTATTTTTAGGATATAAATACATTTTCATTGGTAGTAGATAGGGCTTTCCTTAAGTTCTAGAAGACTGACATACATAACCAAGGAAGAAGGTTAGCAGGACAGGCAACCATTTTTCTTTGCGAGCCTGGGACATTTTGACTTCTTCAATTACGAGACCGCGACTTCAAAGTGGTTTGAATGCAAGCTTGAGACATTTAGATTCTAAGATGTTCAGATGCTGTATATGAAAAAAAACACACTGGTGCTTTGATACTCTCTTAGGCTTGCTAGGAATCTCGTCTGTAAGAAAGCTTTGCGAAAAAATTGAGACTGTGAGACACACATAACCGCTAAAAAAAGCGCCATGTTTTTTGAAGGACCATTGGGTGATTCCAGAAAATATCCATATCCTACTAGGGGTGGCATGAACATTTTAACCCCACCCTACCTTGCCATCGGAACTTCCAAAATGTGCTACCGCCTATGCCCTCCAAATTCCAAAATCATTAACCCCTCCTCCCCTCCGGAATTTCTGATTTTTTCCGGTCCTTTAGAATTCCTGTTTGACTGCCTAAAATTTCTAATGAGCAAACAGCAAACTTGCACTTTTTCCCCCTCCAAGAAAATTCTGCTCACAATTTTCAGCCAAGCAAACAAGCAACTCAAGTTTGTACCTTTCCTTTCTAAGTGTTATATCTTGAAGTTGCTTAACACCAAATAAAAGTTTTTGTTTTCAGTTCATTAGCTTCATATTTTCAGGAGAGTAGACCAACACCTACCTGGTCGATCTCTATCCTGCTTCCGCATTCGGTTCATGCTTCATTTACAAACTAGAACAGTTTTTAGATCAGCAATTTCAAGTCAAGATTTTACCGTCTTCTCCCTCTAGAAATTCAGAGTTGAACCCCCCAATGCATTTGAAATTCCAAACTGCATAACCCCTCCTCCTCCATGCCTTCAGAATTCCAGTCCAAGAAGCCCCCCCTCTCTCAGAATTCCTGTGGTAGGGTATGAATATTTTCTGGAATCATCCATTCGCACCGCTAGATCTTCTTAAAACAGTACCGTGTTATGTTTTGGAACAAAATGCCTCACTCTGTCACATTGCCTCCTCGCAACAAAATCCTTCAATATCTTCTATAGTTGGTTTCATAACACTGTTGGGTTATAAACCTACTACAGCTGGGCCTCCACTAATGGCCCTGCAGTGACCACCTCTCTACAACAGCCACTTTCTTTTGTCCCAGTGGATGGTCCATACATTCTCTCTTATTTTAACCTCTCTACAACAGCCACCTCTCCACAATGGCAACAGCCACCAAAGTATGTCCCAAACTACCAAAATAACTTCTCCATAATGGCCAGTTATCAATGACTGATGAATGCTGTATACAAATCCCCATGTTATATAGTAAAAGGTCACACAACTTCATCCCACCACCCCTACCACCCCTACCATCCCTACCACCCCTACCCCCCATGTGTAATGGCCACATCCCAACAAGAGTGACTTTTCTTAGTCCCAAAGGTGTCCATTGTGGAGAGGTTTGACTGTTTATCAGAGTTGTCTCTCACTCCAGTATGTGGAGAAAATACTTGTATTTTCACTGCCATGCAGATGTTTTCTGTTGAAATTTTTCTCTACAAACTAAAGTAGCTATAGCTACCCACATATACCAGACAAACTAACAGTGCACTAACTAACATTTGCGTTTTTCTTATTGAACAGTTGTAACAAAACCTCCGTATGAAGTGAATGAGTCAGGCTGGGGAGAATTTGAAATACAGATCAAAATCTTCTTCATGGATCAGGCAGAGAGACCAGTTAGTTTACACAGCTCTTATGTCTAATGGAAACTGCTAAAATCATCAGTCCTGCGACAGATGTTTTCTACTCTTTCATGAGTTAGATTTCTAACAAATTATTTTTCTTATGCAATAATCTTTTTTTAATTTTTTAATTTGCTTGCATCATTATTTTGGTCTTCTCTTCAATGTAAAATGCATACTATTCTAAAATAAAATATTTTGTAGTATATTTATGTTAGAAATAAGAGGAGCATTTTGTATGGTACATGTATCTAAATTTAATGATATAAAAAGCTTATTTGAAAGATAGCAGATACCTATGCAAAAGTGAAGCAAAAAAAGTTGTAGTAGAAAAACAAACCACTTATACTTAGCCTACTATGGGGTTTACTAACCAGAGAAGAACTTTGTTAACCTTTCTCGAGACATAATATTTATTTTTCCTGGCCTTTTTTTTTTGTTCTTCTTTTCAGGTGACATTTTATCATCTTTTGAAGCTTTTCCAAACAGAATCTGCTCTTGCCTCTGGAAAGAAGCAGTTGGTTTCTGAGTTCTATGATGAGATTGTGAGTGAAATAAGTTGTTTAATAGACCAACAGGCGCTGCTCATTTTGAATTCACTGTTATTGCTGATAGGCTGTAAATGCAGCCACTAAATATTGGAATCCTCTTAATTACGTCAAGAAATATTATAATAAATTACTGCTTGACTCGGTCATTTGTTTCATGCATAACAGCTTAATGCATGCTTTGCTCAAGTGAACTTCACACAGGAGATGATCATACGTGTATGTTTTAGGTAAAAAGGTGAACTCTGCATATGAGCCAAGCGGCCCAACAGGCCAGCATAATTTATCTCTCCAGTTTCTGTCACATCAAGCGACTAGGAGTATTTCTTTTTCCCCCCCTGGATGGGATGCTAGTCCATCACAGGGTTACCCCATAGCAGTGCATCCCCTGGTACCCACTTATACACCTAAGTTGAGTTAGGCATTGTGAGAGTAAAGTGTCTTGCCTAAGAACACAACACAAATGTCCCCAGCCAGGGCTCGAACCATGACCACTCGATCCTGTGCCAAGCACAGTAACTAAGAGGCCACCGTGCCTGCCACTAAGTTTGCTTTCTTGAAGTAGTTTATTCAAGTGAGAGCAAATCTTTAATGGTACTTTTGTCCCTAAATTTTATTTAGGCCAACAGTGGACTTTTCCAATAGACACAACTAGCCTTGCAAAATTATTTCATCAAGATTAGGTCCTTGATTAGTTTCCATCTTTGGTAAAATGTTGCAATAGTAGAACAGAATATTGTATCATTTCATGTGGATGGTTTGTTTTCCAGATTTTCCAAGACCCCACACAGATGATGCATCAATGCTTACTGAGTGCAAGACAGTTGCCGCCAATAAAACACGAGTCAGACTGTAAGTAGAGTCATAGTGTTATGGTCGACGCAGACTTCAATTTTCAAAACTTCCTGACTTTTTCTTGATAAAAGTAAAATTTCTGATCAAACAAAGAAGACAATTTTAGATTAGTATCATTCGTACAGCCATCCTTTCCACCCATTTATTAAAGACTCGTATGTTTTCAACAAATTCATCGTCTTCATTAAGAAAAAAAAAACATCTTTGAGATCACAGTGAGCTGAAATGTTTCTTCCAGCTTTCAAATGTATTTAAAAATCAGCGGCGTTATAATTTCAATTTTGTTTGACTTTTCTTCAAAATGTCAGTTTTTCGTGACTCACAATAATATAATTTAAATTTTCCCCGACTTTTCTTCAAAATGTCAAATTTCTCTGACTCGATAAAATTCCCTGACTTTTCCCTGACCTTGAAGAATTTTTTTTCACCCTAACCATTTCCTAATTCTTGGCAACCTTGGAACAAATAATCCATTTCTTGTGGTAATAAACATTTATTTTTAATTTGTATTCTTCTGCACAAAGGGGCTGAAATTGAACAAAGAACAACGGCGTCCATTGGCGGTGCCCGACAAAAGATCGGCAAAGAAATCAGCGAGTTACACGAGAAGCTTAAAGTCTGCAAGGACGCCATTCACCAAATGAAAGCTGAAATAGCCAAACTGGAACAACAAGATCAAGAGAGCCAGGACCCCACCACGGCGCCGGCTGTTTTACAATAAGGAAGTGTTGTGTTCGGCAAATTATCCGAAGATCTACCGATAATTTCCGATTATAGTTTCCGATTATAGTTTCCGATTATTATCGAGCACGTCAGAAGTTGGTATTCCAGCTTGTTATCATCAGCATATGTACTGTTGCTTAGCAACTTTCAGCGGGCTCAGACTGTTACATCAATCAAATAGGGAAACTCTGAGCAACTTACACATCAAGTAAGAAAATACTTGTCGTGCAGTCATTTTGTAATATACGAACCGAATATATTCCACATTGCGATGGAAAGGAGTAGCGCAACTTTCTTTTCTCCTGTATTTATTTCCAGTGAATAAATATTGAGTCTTAGGCTTATAAAACGCTTGCCTTTAGATCAGACCTGAAGATTTGGGAAAGCATTTAAGTAATCGATATTGTTTTCATAAATTGCTCGATGTTATTATTATACAAATTATTTAATATATGTATTAGTTTAGCTAATAATCATCCGCCATTTGACCCGCAAAAATCCAGATCCGTTGCATTGTTGCGTTTTTGCCTGCAATCCACATTGATAGCTTCTGATCCTGTCGTACCAACAAAAACGCACTCTACTCTTTTTTTTTCTATAACAATATTGTTTTTCCGGCCCAGGCTGAACATTGCTGAAAATATTCTTGTCAATATTCTTGGATTAGATAAAGGAATACAAAGTAGACTATGACGATAAAACGTCAGATTTATCTGTCCTATCATGTACATTGATGGCTTTGAAGTAATTTTGGAGCCAGACTGCACGAAAAGATGGTAAGCCTAATGTGACTTACGGAACTTCTTTCAGAAAGGTTATTAAAACTGAACATACGGCTAGTTCTGAGTTTGTTGTTTGTGGCTAGTTTTGCCGTTTAGAGAAAAGGATGAGTTTTATACGGTTTAGTTAGAAACATAATTGTATTGTATTTACGAATGTTCAACACACAAAATTATATTCTTTTCTAAATCCCAGTCTCTGGTTTATTTTTAAAATATTCTTAAAATTTCACAAATTTCAGCTTCAGTATTCCTAGAAAATCTATTCTTATATATCTAAAAAATAAGAGCGTAGCGTGGAAGGAGCCGGAAACTCAAACCTATCTATGTATAGAGTATATTGTCTGTATTTCGAGCAAATCCGCCGGTCAGTTATCTTTCGGATGTGTTTGTTCAGGCTTTGAAGTTTGCTATTCTTTCATCCTAGAAGTCAGTTCCATCTAATGAAATTTGTTTTGCTTTTTTTGAGGGTAACACTAAATTGCATATCGTTTGCAGAACGGTAAATTAGTTGATAGTGCGTTTTTAAAAGAAACCTAGCCCATCGGTTGGCTAGGATTGCGACTTGAAAGCGATGCTTCCTCGCGATATTGGACAACCCGGCATAACCCGGAATTGTCGGCGAAATAAATCAACGTCAGTGTGATTCAATAAATAATGCTCTCTGCCAGACTTGTGGATTACACGTTAATTTATACCTCAAACTCGATATCGCAGCAATCAGTGATTTGCGATCAGTATATGCCTGTGAGCTTTTAGCGTGAAATTTAACGAGCTTTCAACTGATCAAAACTTCAAACTGTTATTGCACGAACTAAGTGACAGGAAACCGGTTGAAACTGTAATAGAACAAACTCGAAACAAAACGACTGAGTCATTGACAGTGTTTCCGTAATCTCTAATGATAATGCGGCAAGATCATAAAATACTCTGGTATTTGCTCGTTAAATGAAAACGGAAACATTACGGACTTTGCGCTGTTTACTTGCAAAAATGGATAACGAAGCTATTCAATTTCAGACGATTAATGGGGTTTAGAGATTGGCTCGGACGTGGAAACCTATCAAAGGCAGAGATGACAGGCAAGTGTCAATATTCAAAAGCCCTCTTAACAATGGTACCTAAAAGATAGCACACAAAATTTCTATTAACATCCCAGATTTTGTGACTGATTTTAAAAAAAGGCCAAGATCCCATCTCAGCATGACGTTATTGGACTTTGTGGATATGCCATCGAGAGGAAAAAAGCGAATTGAGATTACTTCGTGTTTATACAGCTGGCTTGGTGACAAGAAACCTTCTTGATGTGGGACAGAATTTGCAGCTGAGCCCTCTCCAAACCAAACAAGTTCATTAGCCAATGACAGGACGTCATCCCTTGAGCGTATATTGCGCTGCCCCAAAACATCATTTATTCCTGATTTTCCGTTTCGCAACCAATGAAAGGACGTAGAAACTGCGAATTTAATTTCGTTTGGAAGGAGCCCAAAATATCGCATTTACTTCACACTATCAAGAGCAGCCAGTTGGTAATTCGAGTGTCTGGAAAGAGCAAATTTACGACGTAACCGTGTCGGATGGCGTCTAAGCTGTGAGCATTTTCCGTTTCGCTTCGGAATCATGTTTGGCGGGCAATGTTTAACCAAAGTTCTTTTACATTGTAAGTAGAACTGCTAGCTTAAATTACGTAACCTTAATTCTGTACACGAAAATTGAATCGTTAATTTAAGAAACAGCTATTCGCGAATCTACTTCAGTTTTTTCATTGACTGACCGAGATTTTCGTTTCTCGTTTAGATATTACGGTCGCGCTATTCGCGGGATGTTCAGCATTATACCCAGGTGTCTTCAACGCTTGTCCTCAGGTAATAACTGTGATATTCTCTTAAATACCGATTTTTTTCTTCTAGGGGTGAAGCAAGCGTTTCTTAATCCTAAAGTCTTGAGAATTAACGAATTAAATGAAGCGAGCTCGTTGGCGTCTAAAGCAAACATTTTGGATACAAAAGGACTGCGCGTTGTGAAAAAGCCATTTTTTCCTTTTAGATTTTCGTATATATTAACCATTTGCCATAGCTTATCCATTTTAAGCATTCAGGCATTCTTTCTTTGCTTCAAAAAAATTAGGTTAGAACTCGTGTTATAGGGCTTTAGTGGCAATAAGAACATGCCGAATTTATGCTGTAATCCCTGGACTACCGGGTATTGTGAAATTTGGGCGATTTTATTTTGCATATGTATACATGATGTAATCTTTTCCCTCATAAAAAAAAACTTGCTTCGTTCCGTACCATTGCGAGAAAAATTTTAAGGGAAGCTGTAGCTGAAAAAGGCCATCTTTCAAAAATGATCTCGACAAACTTGTGGGCAAGATGTTCGAATTTAAAGTCATTATACAAATTAAAACTGAACTTCAATACTCCCACTTTAGTTAGCGCTTTAGTCGGAAATTTATTCCTAATAAATACTGAAATATTTTGTCTATCGTGAAAGAGGCTTATCTTCGCGTAAAAAGAGAAAACCTCTTTCCTAAATCAAACGATTCGCTGTTCGGAAATCGAAACGCGATTTTCTCTTTTGTTTTGGCGTTAATTCGAAGAACAAAAATAACCTATTTAGCGAGGAACGAATATGTCATTTTATGGTCGTCAGGCGATTACAAAGCCGTTTAAAATTTAATCGGTGAATATTTGGCAAGTCTCGCCTGAAACTGCTGAATCAAACATTTATGAAGATATGAAGAGAACAACTATTCAATCCAACGAAAAATTGGTCTAGATAAATTTTAAAAAGTCGATTATCAGTTTATTTGCATGGAACAATTGTAACAAAGTTCAATCGATAATGTAAATGTACCATTGTTACAACAGTCAATCAACAGAGTTGTGAGAGGTAACTTAGAAGATTTTATCGTTCCTTCGCCAAAATATCCAAAAATTTTCTCTCTGAAATGCGAAAATAGAGTTTACGAGACTTCTGGCTAGGAATTTGATTAAAACGCAATTCGACTAAAACAACTGTCACTTTCATTAGACTGCATGAATGGCGAACCTTGAAAGTTTAGTTAAATTAATTTAAGGGAACAAAACATTATGCAGCTGAAGTGAGCGAGTAGTCGCTCGATGTTTATAAATCCTGGATTTCAATCGTCATTTTGCGGACAGGTTCTAAGTTACAACGCATCAATGGAAAAAAGGATGGATTTAAAGAATTTTCTCGAGGCGACTTTCTATGAAAATTTCTAAAACGAAAATTGAGCATCATTTAAGAGATGCGTTTGATAATACTGCGAAGATGAAAAAAAAAAAAAAAAAAAAAAAAAGAAAAAAAGAAAAAAAAAGACAACAAAAGAAAACAATGCTTTGTCTCCAATAAAGCAAGGGAGGTTATGAATTTTTTATTTCAATGAGATCTTTGAATAAGTAGCGACGGGTTTTCACTGAGTAATTAATCTCGCGGCCGCTTTTAAGTTCTTTGTTGTGAGAGAAAAACTGGCACAGGAACAAAGTACCAGACATTTTGCAGTTCTATAAATAGCCGAAAAAACAAATTCAGTATTCTAAGTTTTTAATTATTTTCACCACCACCCTAACTTTCCCCTAGACATTTATATCGGTGTTGAAAATTCGAAAAACTCTTACTGAGAATATTCAGAAAACTGAGGAATTTATAAAACATTTGCCTGGAGACCTTGTTTTTACTCGTTTCATAATTAAAAATACAATTGCGTAGAACTCTTGGCGTCAATAGATAATATAACATGTCTTAATTTTTAATAATTAAGGTTTACCCCGTTCAGGCTATATTATTCGAGGCTCTAATCACAGAGACAACGACAAAACGTTTTTCTGTAAAAATAACTAAGAATGCTTTTCTTGAAAAATTCCAAAGGCTGTACAGTTCATGTTAATTTTTTAAAGATATCTTTATCATTTTTTCAAATTTAAGTCTTAGGATAGAAAAGTTACAAAAATTGAAAACACCTTGTTTCCAATAAAGCTATATAAATAAATGATGATTGAAACCTAAAACGGAGATTTTATCTGACCAAAACCGACTCGGGAGACAATAAACTGGGTCAATTGCATAGCTTGTGACATCGCCAACATGGTCTTGGCTACAAGTAGACATTTAGCGCAGCTCATTGCCAGGCAAAAAAGCCTTAAACTATTTAACTGGCCAACTGCTCGATAATCTTGCCCTGAACATGTTGTCATATAAGCCGTACATGGTTGCCATGCTCGAAAAAGGCAAAATACGTATACCTTCTACTCTATAATAAAAACTTCGCATTTTCTTCATAGATATTTAACAATTATTCCACGAGCGCGCGTTGGTTTTGTCATCTCAATGATCCAGTTTTTAATAATTGGAATTTTACCAAGGCCTCTATGTGTATGAGCAATTACTAACCATTTGATGTTTTTCTAGGGTTCATGTAACAGTTCTCTTTCAAGTAACCTTTGCCCGGTGGTTAATAACGCGTGTACATGTGCCAAAAACAACAGTTCCGCCTGCGATAGTCTGGATCAGCAGGCGTTTGTGAACTTAACCGGGGCTACAAATGAAAATGCATCGCAGTGGACCTGCTGTTTTTGTTCCCTTAACTCAAGCTACTGCTGTAACAAGTGCAACAACCCTACTCCTACCACAAGAGGTGAAACATAATTCCTTGTTCACTATGAAAACATGTAGAAACTAATTATAAATCGTCAATGTAGGAGTCCATAACTCAGTTTTGGACTCCAAGTTCGAGTTTCATGGGAAACAGGTTTGTTGTCAGTCGATTGTAGTATGTCTTCATTGCCACAAAAGTCACTCATTTGAAAACAGAATATGCGAAAATGGAACGTTTCGTCAGGAGAGATGACGAGGGTAAATGTTGTCGAAGGGGTGGTAGGTGGTGCAAAAGTGTGTTGCGAAAAAAAGCCAATAAAAGTCTGCGTAGGGCTAGTGGCCGATACACCTAACTTTATCCCGGTCTCTAAGCGACTGGGAGCACTTCTACCCCCCTGGATGGGATGCTAGTCCATCGCAGGGTTACCCCCCTCCCCCCGCCTAATCTAGCATTAAATATGCCGGTACCCGACCTGGGTGGATAGGCACTGTGAGAGTGAAGTATTTTGCCGAAGATCACAAGGCAGTGACCCTGGCCAGGGGCCTGTTTCTCGAAGGTCCCGAAATGTTTTCGCAGCTGGGGCCCATTTTTCGAAAGCCACGGAAAATTTTCGGGCCCGGAAAGCCATAGCAAAATCTCGAACCTTACGATTACAGAGCTGTTTTATTCACATATTCTTAATATGAACAGAGGTTCCCTTCATACAAGAAGTTTTAGGCGTATACACCTTTCTGTTATTTGATACAGATTAAATAAAAATGGCTTTGCGGGCCCGAAACGTTTCCGGGACTTTCGAGAAAGTGGCCCCAGGGCTCGAACCCGGGCCACCTTACCCGGAGCCGAGCATGCTGAACACCAGGCCACTGCACCTCCACTAAATACATTAAGTGAGGTAATGCAAACGCCTTGGAGCTTGTAGTTAGTCACACTCTTTTACCACTGGACAGTTTTTTTTAAAAAGGTCTATTACAATCATGACGTTAAATTACTGTCTTGTTTACAGCTGCAGATCCACTAATTGATCTACCAACCAGATACTTCAGAATATTACTCGTGTTTGTACTAGAATGCAATCAGTTTTCAAACGACGAGGACAACTTAAATGACTCGCTGAAACAAGGAATAAACAGCCTAACCGGCTTGCCACTGGACCAAGTAACAGTAACAGATACCAGCTGCGCTACTGGTCCGCGGCCTTACTGCGGGGTGGACGTGGACGGTATCAGGGCTCATCACCGCGCCAAGCGCTTGGCTGTAGGGGGTAGGATGAAGGGAAAATCTCAAACCAAACAGAACCCGAAAGACAACTCGTACGGCTCATATGAATACCAAGGAAGTTCAATTGATGTAATGTGTGACAGCTTGTCTGCAAACATGACGGTGTCTGGAAAGAACGTCACACGCCTTGAAATGTCTCTAGAGTTACTTCGCCAGCTACAACTTAACAATTCGCTTGATATCCAATTGTGGGATGGGCGTGTCATTTACTCCTCATTCATGCTATCGGCGATGGATGGTACTTCATATAGTCTGCACAAAGCGACCACGCCCAAGTCTCTTTCCCCGACAACACCGGGTTTGCCTCCATTAACGGTCGACATAAAACCCCTGATCTATGCCGCAGCTGCCTTCGGAGGACTGATAACCCTGTGCATTCTGTGGAAGTTTATTAAACATTCCTGGCTTCTTTCGAGAAAGAAGTTCACGCCAATCAACAGTGACCGCGTGGATCACAAGAAATCAGCTCAGCAGCTCACCAAGCAGCAAAAAATCATGCAAGCCATGGAAGAAAACGACCGGACGCCACATGGTATGTGCATACATGAAGTAGCGATAACTAAAGTGAGAAATTCAGTTAGAGTTTGTAAATAGAGAGCTTAAGCAATGACGACGGCGACCCCGAAGACAACGCTCTGTAAAAAATGAATTTACATTTTACCTTGGAATGTCGCAATTGTACTGACCTGTTCAGTGCGCCTATTGGTCTCAGAGCTTGCTCAAGCTAAGCATGTAATGCCAGCTTTCAGCTTCAAATGAAAATACAAAAAATTAGCCGACGTTGTTCGCGTTCTCTAAAATACGCAGATTTTAGTCATTTCACGTTGTTGTTCTGCAGGACGGTTAAGAAATGTACAAAGATTTATAACGCACGTGCACAGCCATTGTTAAACCTTTTGTTTAGTGGCGTTTTCGTCACCGTTGTGGTTACTCCAGTTATGGCGTTTACAGCAAACTGATGTTGTTTTGTTTCGTTTTGTTTTTTTCTAATCCCTATAAAAACAGTGCAACACCAAAATAGAAGAAAAAGCATGTTTTCACAGAAAATTCAAACATTCTTACTCAAGTGTACAAACAGCTGAAGACAGACGGCAAAGTTTAGTTTTCGCCGTTAATTTGCTTCTTGCTGTAAACGTAACTTTTAAATTTTGCTTTGGGACACTCACAAACAACTCCTTTGGGTTGAGCAGGCCAGAATTCACACAAGACAGCGATTAGCTTCTATTTCACCAACAAGTTCCTCTTGCATAAGACTCGCAATTTTTAGACGCATAATGTTCAGACTGTTCAGGCGCCACTGGAGCGTATGAATACTTAAAAGTTTTCATATCTTGATAGAAATAATAGCTTTTATTATCACTATGAAGTTGCCGTTGAGCTATAAGCATTGTGTTTCTATTTTTTCCCTTTTCTGCTAATTCCCTTTCTCGATTGTCTCTCGACGAACTAAGGGAAAAGAGTAAAGGCCGTCTCTTATTCATCTTTACTCGCGCACAATACAGTTCGAAAAGTTTGATTTTCGGGAAATAAAACATTGGACAACAAAGCTCCCGTCCACACTGCATCAAATGTTTTCCATCCACACTACGCCGAAGGAATATCACCTGTCATTTTGGATTTGCGTTTGAGTAAAACTCGGGGAGGGGAATATCACGATTATCGTAACGTCACCGTTTTCGAAAACTTCGTTTTCAAAATGTTTCCCGTCCACACTAACACGCAAAACCGGCGTTTCCACATATGAATTCTTCCGGTTTGAAGAGCGTTTTCGAAAAGCTCCGTTTTCGTAACGGTTTTCAATTTCCTCCGGCGTAGTGTGGTGGGCATTCTTGGAAAGGGCGAAGAAACTAAGCATTTAATGAAGTTATACCGTGCATATATTGGCGTCGTATCTGCCTTACTCCTTATGTCTTTCACTGTTTGTCATTTCACTCATCAGCCAGTGGGAGCGCGTTCACAACCAGCGGCTTGCCTCGAAGTAATAACGAGGCTACGAAAGAGCACCCCAACTGGTCGTCCCCAGGCTACCCAGCGAGGTCGCTGGAGCCGGCGTATAAACCAACCGAGCTGCATAACCAGCGGACTCCGCCAAGACTCATTCTGGACGACGATGGATCTGATCTTGAGGACAGACGGAGTATCGACAGTGGAAGCATAGTTAATCTAGGAGACGACGAAAATTTGAGCGACATTTTGAACAGCGACGATGAACGAGCGTTTCGGCCTTCTAGTGTGAGCTCGCATTTCTCAAAAGGAATTAAAAATCCGGGTTTTATTGAGGAGATAAACATGGACGAAACGGCTGGTGAGCCATATAAAATGCGACGAAAGTCACAGTCCCCAAGTCTGGCTAATGGCAGCGAAAAGCTTTCCGTCAACATGAGTGATGTCCCAGAAGAGAGAAAGGCATCCATTATTTCTTCTGATTTGAGCTTGGGTGAAGGGGAACGGACAGTTTTCCTGCCCGTGAAGAAAGAAAAGAAGATCAAAAAGCAAGAGAAACCGAAAAAAAGCAAAACCACTTTGTTATCCGCAAATACTGACAAAAATTTGAGGAGAGGGTCTGTAACGCCTGTAAACGAGGATAACGGGACACGAGTAAACTCTGCGACACAAGCAAGGAGCCCTTGGAAATCGCCTACGCTACAAGTTACTGAAGGAGAAAAGAGAAGAAAGTCAATAACAAATACAACTGATAATGACAGAAAAGTTATCACGCCAAGAGATACATACGCGAAAGGAAAAAAGACCACGAAAGTGTCGACTTTAGAAAACGGAACAAAATCGGTTGTGAATGAAGAATTGGATGTAGGTAAAACTGGTGTTTCCGGAAAAGTCAAAAATGGTCGATCGATAACACCTGCGAGTCCACATCAAAGAAAAAACATTTCCATTGTTGCAAGTGGCGGAGACGACGAAGTCTCTGAGGGAAAACAAAAGAGGATAACTGCAACCTCAGCTACGCCTTTCAACGAACGCAGAAAGTCGACAGTCGCCGATGTGGAACAAAGAGAGAGTTCAAGAGGGAACGAAAGTAGGCTGAAAGAAATGTCAACCTCACCCGCCAATAAGCAAAAGAATTCCACCGTTGCAGATGATGGCAAAAGGAAAAAGAAAAAGCAGAAAAATGACAAAGAAAAGAAGAAGAAGAAAAAGACAGTTGATTCGGAGGATTCATCCGAGGAGACAACGCCGCACATTATTGAGGACATTACAGGACTGAATGTCACACCGGCCTCACCTGGCACACAGCGAAGGCCCTCGGCAGTTTTACAAGAGAAAGAAACTAAAGTAAAGAAGAAAAAGAAAAGAAAGGACAGAGAGGGAAAGAAACGAAAGACAGAAGATTCCGAGCTATCTGGCGAAGAAGAAGCTGCCGAAGGCAAAACAAAGCATTTAGATGTAGATGGCATTGCTGTACCAGATGTAGAAACGAAGCGACGTAAGTCAGTCGTTCCCGATGAAACACAGAAAAAGAAAAAGAAGCAAAATGAAGCGACGACAACGAGAAGGAAATCTGAGATTCCTACAGCTAAGCACAGGGATCAAGACACCAATGGTTTCGTCCACAGCGCAAAGAGTTTAAGAATGGACTCGCTGACGGTTACACCGGAGGAAAAGCGCAGAAAGTCAATCGTCATTGAAGACATAGAAAGCAAATCCCAGACAAGCGACACTTCGTCTCGGAGAAAATCAGTCATTCCCGACATACCCACCGATTGGAAGAGGTCGGGCCCCGATCAAAACATCGCTCGTATGCAACCAAACAGCATTTCACCCATCCCCACTGGAAACAAATCACCACGTTTGATTATTAAGCCCTCTTACCATAAGTATTAAACAAAAGATGCACGGGCCCTCTCCTCAAAGGGCCTTACAAAATACCTTCTTGTAAGCGCCCTTAGAAAATAACTCCCTTCCTTTCGCGCCCATAACAAATTTTTGACTAATTCCTTCTAATTTAATCTCAAAGAAATTGTTCAAAGCGCCATGAATGCTTAAAGTAAAAGACTTAACATGTAGTTTTCAATTTCGCAAATTAAAGCTACAGGTTCTGAGAATATACAGTGAAGTGTGAATTCAGCTTCCCATGAAGGGTTATCTCACAGGAAAACACTGGATTCTCCCAAACTGTTGAAATAATGATCGTCAGAAATGATAGCACGTTAAGTTTCACTTGATGCAGGAGACGAAGAGAAATGAAAGCCTGTGTTTACGACGAGGAAAGAGTGAGTGTTAAATTGCGACTTAAAAAGTCGCAGTATTAGAACAAATCAAAAAGTCCGACATCACAATCTATGCCAGAACCGATGCCAGGCCACGAAACTCAACTAAAAGCGTCTCTTTAAAGTTCGAGGTTTAGATATTTCTAGTTTTGGGTTTATAGCCCTTTTTTTGAGACGAGGAAAGACTGATTGTTCAACTGCGACTTAAAAAGTTGCAGTATTACAACAAATCAAAAAGTTCGATGTCATTATCTATGTAAGAAGCGACGCCAGGCAAGGAAGCTTAAATGTGTCTTTTTAAATTTAGAGGTTTAGATGTCTCTAGTTTTGAGTTTATAGCGCTAGCAACAAAAATGTTAATAACATGAAATCTCTTGATAAAACAGAGATAGAAGAATAAGACAATGAGGATCTGTAAATAAAATAATTGTGCAATAATTTAAAATAAACTACAGTTTCAACCATCAGTTCTTAAAAGCACATCCCCACCTTAACTCACACGACGTTATATTAACGCGTAAGAATTTCTACATAAAAATATCTATCTGATAACCACTATCACACATCAACAGTTGGGCCTTTCCAAAAGTATCCGGATATGTTTTGGGATATTTCGAATATTTAACAATTATTCCATGAGCGCGCGTTGGATATGNGCGTCTCTTTAAAGTTCGAGGTTTAGATATTTCTAGTTTTGGGTTTATAGCCCTTTTTTTGAGACGAGGAAAGACTGATTGTTCAATTGCGAATTAAAAAGTTGCAGTATTACAACAAATCAAAAAGTTCGATGTCATAATCTATGTAAGAAGCGACGCCAGGCAAGGAAACTTAAATGTGTCTTTTTAAATTTAGAGGTTTAGATGTCTCTAGTTTTGAGTTTATAGCGCTAGCAACGAAAATGTTAATAACATGAAATCTATTGATAACACAGAGATAGAAGAATAAGACAATGAGGATCTGTAAATAAAATAATTGTGCAATAACTTAAAATAAACTACAGTTTCAACCATCAGTTCTTAAAAGCACGTCCCCACCTTAACTCACACGACGTTATATTAACGTGTAAGAAGAATTTCTACATAAAAATATCTATCTGATAACCACTAACACACATCAACAGTTGGGCCTTTCCAAAAGTATCCGAATATGTTCTGGGATATTTAGAGGTTCCTGGGATATTTCGAATATATTAAGATATTCAGAGAATCTAGGGATAATTGGAAATATTCATAGCTTTTTTGGCCAAGCCCTGTGTTTTCCTCGCTATTTTCTTGAGACAATACTCGGTTCTATGTCAGAAATAACCCAGTTCAGCTATTTCCCGCTTGAAAAATGAATTCCAATAATTTCACATCACTGCAAGTACTAAAGCTACAATTTTCCAAAATGGCGGATGCTGGTAACATCGAGGCGCCTGAATCTCCTCGATTCCTCTTACTACTGCAAAACATTTTGAACATTTTTGCCTTCATAGTGATTTAAAATCACTTCATTTTTAAACAAGAATATAGGATATTTAAAGGGTTTTTCGAGATATTTAGAATTTTTTTGTGATATTTGGAAAATTTTCTGAGATCCGTAAAGATATTTGGACGATTTCATGTGTTTTCTTGGAAAGGCCTATCAACAGGATGCTTTATGCCAGTATTTATGCTACCTTTCTACATTAATTTACCAATCAAAACCCAAGCTAGAGTCGAGGACGAGGATACGTCATTCAAGGCGGGAAAAGATCGGCGCCCTGCGNAATATATTAAGATATTCAGAGAATCTAGGGATAATTGGAAATATTCATAGCTTTTTTGGCCAAGCCCTGTGTTTTCCTCGCTATTTTCTTGAGATAATACTCGGTTCTATATCAGAAATAACCCAGTTCAGCGATTTCCCGCCTGAAAAATGTATTCCAATAATTTCGTATCACTGCAAGTGCTAAAGTTACAATTTTCCAAAATGGCAGATGCTGGTAACATCGAGGCGCCTGAATCTCCTCGATTCCTCTTACTACTGCAAAACATTTTGAACATTTTTGCCTTTATAGTGATTCAAAATCACTTCATTTTTAAACAAAAATATAGGATATTTAAAGGGTTTTTCGAGATATTTAAAATTTTTTTGTGATATTTGGAAACTTTTCTGAGATCCGGAAAGATATTTGGACGATTTTATGTGTTTTCTTGGAAAGGCCTATCAACAGAATTCTTTATGCCAGTATTTATGCTACTTTTCTACACTAATTTGTCAATCAAAACCCAAGCTAGACTCGAGGACGTGGAGACGTCATTCAAGGAGGGAAAAGATCTGCGCCCTGCGTCATCTCACCTCACGTCGAGGTATCCGTTTTGCACGTGCAGTAGATCGCTCTTTGATTGGCTGAGAAAGCCAACCGAGGGAGGAAGAGAAAAGACCCTGGGAACGAGGTTGACGCCAAAGTTTGGTTGTGACAAGGTGGTGTCCTGAATTGAGTAAACAATACAATGTGTTTCACTGAGAGAGAAGAAACGTTTCCCTTGGGCAAATCACAATAAATCGTAACAGAAATATTAGTAATAGTTGTTTGCCAACAGAATCGCTGCTGCTGCTGCTGCTGCTGTTGTTGTTGTTGGTCTCTTTTTTAACAAGGATCGAATCTCCATTTCCCTGTTTCAAACACAAAACACAGTTGTCGTCCCAAAGTATACCGTAGTACAAAATTGTTGTTACTTTAGAGATTTGAATTCCGAGGCACCAGAGGTCCTTCCCATTCTACTCCTGAAAAATGAAATGAGAAAATGGAAGTACTCTTAAAACCAATGTTAGGCTTCTGACTGGGGAGGGGTAGGGGAAGTTTTTTTTCCAAGGCATTTTGAAGGGGATGGTGGGGGGGTTTATTTCAAATCATAAACCAGTTGCATGTAGTGCACATAAAATAGGCTACCTTGAGGAACTTTTAATTTTTTTCTGTTAATAATACATCTTAACAAAAATGTAACAAAAAGTACATGTGGTACGTGTATAACTCCAAATGGGTTAAAATGTTTAAAATATTTCGTAACATCTTCCACCACTTACCCAGTAAATTAGCTAACAAAAGGAATCTGTCCGATCCAAAATACATGTGAGGTTTGCCATTAACGTGTGCAACAATGATTGGAGCACCAAAAGCCTGAATATAAGAGAAATATTTGTATCTTAGTACTCGAACTTTCTTGCAAAAACATCTCACTTACGTGCTTCTAATCATTAAACTTCTTACAAGGAGACACCTTTGGGACCTGAAAGAAGTGTTGTAGTGCTTGTTAGTGAAGCCCTAGGACCAAAACTGCAAGTATGCTCACAGGTGTTGGAGGGGTTTGTAAGAAGGGTTCAACTTGGCTTCAAAGTGGTCCAGTTCTGGCCTTTTCTCTGTCACGCAGCACTTTGCGAGAGCACAGTGTTGCATGACAGCTGGACTAGGTTTCAAGTTTGCTCGACTTTTCTGTATGAATCAAGAATCACACGAGCAAATGGCCAATTTAAAGCAGCTTAAAATGGTTTGTGAATTGTTCCATGTACTTACCCCCATATCAAGAGCTTTCTGTGTTGTTTCTTTGAGTTTATCTTTGATTTCCTGGTCACCAATTTTACTCACAAGGGACTGGGTCTGGTGTTCAGTTAATCCAATGTTTTGGCACACCTGATAACAAAAAGAAATGATCAGCAGTACAACAGGCCCAGTTTCCAGTCTGTGAAAGCAGCCTGCTACATACATTGTAGTTGATCTTCAATTTGCATGCATTTGGCCTAGCAGTGGTAAGTTTTGAAATGAAGTATTCAGCAGTGAAGACAAGGTGAATCACACTTTTTTGAAAATTGTAAAACAAAGTTCTGCATGAGATTGTTCTTTCATTCAATTCTTAACAGGTTTAGCTACAAGTCAATCTCCCAGTTACTCCTCCCTTACAGTCGAGCCTTACGTAAGTGGGCACAATTACAAACTAAAGAAGCATCCTACATGTACAAACAGTTTTCTGCTGTGCTATGTTTGCTTGTGGCTTGGGCCATAAATGGGCCCTCTTATAGGGAAGTACCCAAATGGGGGAGGTGTTGGTCAGCAGAGTTATGTTTGACTGAATGATGATGACTATGAAGGGGCGTGTTTAAAACACGAAATAGCAAAAATTAGACAAAATGATATTAAAGGTAAGGGTCAGTGTGGGATACAGGTATCTGAAAGGGTTAACCCTTACATCTGTTGAGAGCTAACCACTGTCAAGTCAGTAATATTTAGGCTAACCAGAGTGCTATTAAGGCAAACTGGAGTGCCATTTCATCATTTTGCCATTTCGTGTTTGAAACAAACTCACTGTGAAGAATGGCAACCCACTGAGTAAGATATCCTTTGGTTTACCTCAAGGAGACTCTGTGGTTCTGTAATGTCTTCATCCTGAAACAACAAGTATTTAGTTATGTCATTTTCCAAATGAAGGTTTGCTGGGCAAAAAATCAACAGTGAAAATGAAAAGTTTTTGTGTTAGGAAACCTTGGCCTGGAATCAAGGAACAAAATCTTCTATGGGTAAACATGACCATGAAGCTAAGGTTTCTAATGTATTATAATAATTATTCAAATTTCGGTGCCATTTAATAAGCAGTTGGTTTGTTATGACACCCTGAGTCACCTGAACCTGGTGGTATAAGCAAAAATTTTCTATGTTACTGCATTGGATATCAACACACCCTTGACCAGATTCTCATCCAAAATTCACGGCTAAGAGGCTCAACTTTGTCTGGATAGTACTTGGTAGCCGCTGTGACAAGACGCATGGCAGATAAGGAACCTAGACGGATAACATATAAAAAACAAATTATTACAAAAGGGCAAATTCAAGTTTCGTATTTTTGTTTTCCTCTTATCAACAATATATGGCAATTATTGCCATATACTGTGTTAGACTGCAAATAGTAAAAATATATTTGGCATGGTAATAACTTTCTAGTGCTGATTAAAAGTAAGATCAGTGCAACTAATAAACAGAGTTCATTATGAATGAATATTCACAGACTGAGTATGAAGACTGTAAAGTCCTTATTTATAACCTATAAATGAACTGAATTCAATTTGTTGTTACTTAGATGTCTGCTCTAGGTGTGAACAATATAATCCTAAATCATGAAACCCAAAGAAATAAACTTGTTATCTCAGACTAGTTTCAACCTAAAATTTTCCATTAATATTATCTCACAATAAATTCACTTACAGAATATTTTACCAAAAGGGATTTAACTGACCTTTCCTAAACATTACATCAGCAGGATCCTGTGGAAATAAGAGGCAAGGAAATTAGCAGTGGAAAATCTCACTTTTAGTACTAAATAATATTATTTTCAAACTTAGTTTGCATGACAGGATAACTGTTATTAATAATGTATTGACAAACAATGTTTAGAATCAAGCAGTCCATGCACCTTTGAATCACAAGACAAAGAAAATCTTACTGCACCAATTTTAAAATTCATGAATGAAATGCATGCCATCTACTAAGGGTATTTTTTTTTAATTAGTGAAATCATAAGAAAACCATTTTCAGTATTGAGTGTTGTAAAACCAAAACCAAACCAATTACTTACTAATTAGACTACTCAGCCAGTCTGACACCATTATGATAGTAAAACCAAAACCAAAGTAATTGCCTGATAACTTTTGACACACAATTGAAAACCACTCTATCATGATAGGAAACCAAAAAGTATGGGATACCCCTTCCCCCAGTTTACCAACCTGTCTTTTTTTTACAGTTGCTCTGCAGTGTTTGCATCACTGAAAGCCTAAAAGGTTACACTTTTGATACTTACAGCTGGTGGAACCAGAGGGATTCCATAAAAATCCCGCAATCTCTCAATATCCTTAGACATGTACGCAGCTTTGGCTGGGACTGTTCCTGGGGGCTTATTACCTAGTTGTTTCATAAATAAAAACAATTTCCTTTACAAACAATCATCATCAAATAATGTGCAGTTCCAGAAAATATCCATACTCCCCCCACAGAGGGGATTGGAATTTCCTGAGGGGGTTGTGGGGTTCTAGAAGACCAAAAGATGTAAAGAAATGTATGAAGCTGAACCAGAATTTCCAGAGGGGTGGGGAGGTGTTAGAAAAAATCCCTTCCGTGGGGAAGGTATGGAAATTTTCTGGAACTACACAAGTCCCTAGGATCTGGGCAATAGATTACAAATTCATGAAACTGATTGGTGGAAACTGAAACTGTTTACACCCTCAAGACTAAATGCTAAGCCATTACAATGAAACATTTTCACATGACGGCGTACCAGCCACATTGGTGTTCCAAACCAGTGAAAAGGTGGCCATATTGGTGTACCAAACCAATCTTGTGGGAGTTAAACCCATTTCTTATGTAAACACTTTCTTTTGTTCTGGATGAGACAAATTTGCATGGCAACTGGCCACATTACTGAATACACTTTACCATGTAATTCACAGCTATTTGCATAAATATGAAAATTGCAGGCTGATCAGATTTTTATTCAGTAGTGTATTTCAGAAGGTGTACCTGAGCCAGCCATAATACCAGACAGGAAAAAAGGACGAAACTGCAAGTCTAAATTCCATTTAGTTTGATATCGACAGAGAACCTGAAAAAAATGATAATGGTTACCCTTAGCAGCATTGTAAATAATCCTTGGCCAGTTATTATAAACAAACAAAATTGGTTGTGCTGTGCTGCTTTGCTTTGTGCTTTGCTTTGCTGAGGAGAGCTTTTTTGCTTTGGTGAGGTGAGCTGAGCTGAGCTTACATTTTGGGTGGTCTCTTAGGGGAGGTTCAAGTGTATTTTTTTAATCCGATCATTGAACACGTAGATAGAATCACAAGAGAGCTGGGTGCCAACACAAGACGGGAGATTTGAGGAGGCTATAAACAGCCTAACTCATCACTCGTGGTTTTGCCTTGTGCTGCAGTGCACAAGAGCTTCCCAGGGTAGTCAGTCGATATCATACATTGTCAAACCACTCGATAAATCGATATCAATTAATTGAAATGACAGTTCTCTCTATGTTAATTATCAATCACTCACAGCGATTGCTTTAACAATTTTTGCTATCATTGACTAAGCTGACTAAGTTCTTTCGATTGTTATCAAATGTTATCGATTTAACAAATTGACATCAGTTTTTCATGTGTCTGTCCTGTTATTGATCATGAATTTCCTCATAACATTGTCAAAATAGCTGTGGATCGTGTCGTGTGGATCCACAGACTACTTTGACAATGTTATGACGAAATGCATTGTCAATAACAGGACAGACGCATTAAGAACTGACATCAATTTGTTTTTTATGATAACAAATTTTCAAATTGTCCGCTCTTGCTCGTTGACGCATCGCATAAATTATAAATTCATGTGTCTGTCCGCTTATTGGCAATAAAAATTACCCCATGAGCGCGCGATAATTTCTGCATTCATCATAAAATACCAATTTTATCAACTGAATACGTAATACCCCGGGTACAGCTCTTTACAAATCAAGGATTTACGCAATCCTTGGAAACGTTTCGCACTATTTGGAGTGGAGTTGTACTTCTTGTAAGAAAATCTCAATCATTTACCTCAAAAGCAACCCACGAATAAGGCGAAAGAACATCATAAAACAACTCCACAGTTCTCTTTGCCACCGCCATCTTGAAACGAAGGTTTAGTCTTGTACAGCGGTGTTATAATAAAGAGAATATTCATGCTGAATATACGACGACATATTTGTAAAATCAAAATGGCGCCGAGAACTTCACTTTTTCCCAGGGAAGTGGCAAAGATCTTTCCTTCGTTTGAAATAACATGTTTAAATAAAGACTGTATTCCTTAGGTTTTAAGTTTGAATTTTGCAAGCAGTGGATAACCTCTAACTCTCCCCAACATACCGTAACTTAACTTGTTTTCATTAATTCTGTTCATTTCCAACAAGTACGCGAAGGGGGGCGAAGCCAGAACGAAACTATGAACGAGTGCGAAAAATGAGGCGCATAGGGAGGGGAAAAATGCATGATGTATGCTGCTCGTCGAAAATTTTAAAAAGAACCCCTAAGAGGTACCGAGACCCTGTTTTGTGGGCGTGGCTTGAAATGTTTTTCACCCCTGTTAAAGAGGTACCAATTCTAAAACAACATACTATCTCCTGTCATATTTTTTCCTTTCAATACCCTAAAAGTTACCGCAAAAGCTCCCGCTGTGGACCCTTTGGGGCTGAACACCCTATCTAAGAAGTACCAAAACCACTTTTTCAACATTTTCCAAGTTGAGTGGACGCCAAATGCATACATGTATCCAAATGTAAAACAATATTGAATATTTGCTTGTCAAAGAAACGAGGTAAAATGTCAAAACACCACACAAGTACTACAAGTAACATAGATACACATGAGTAACAGACGACAACAAGGAACAATGATGCTCAGTGTGGACTTCGCTAATTAATAAGAAGGCAAAAACTAAACATGCTTGCATGATTTTCAAGTAATTTGAGGTGAACTGTAAAGGAAATGGAACTACTTGCCCAAGCACTTGATTTTTGTGGTAAATCCGAGCATTCCGATTAGTTGTAAGTTCTTTCCTGGCCGGGATTTTGCCATATGAACTGTTTCCATGAAAATGGTTCATATGGCAATGATACTTTTTTTTACCTAATGGAGTTTGAAAAATTGTCCTGGACAGGGATGGCAGAGCCCCCCCCNCCCCCTAATTTCAAGCGAAAAACACATAAAATAATAACTTTCATCTCCAGACCCCCTACAAGTTAGTGCCTCTTACACATGCTTGTAAGCCCCCCTGAATTCAAAATACACTCCACCACCCTGTTGGATAGTGCTTGGATTTTTAACCCAAAAAAGAATACAACCCCTGGTGATGAGAAAACAACTCTCGCTAAGTTCTCTGTCAGGTGTCTACAGTTGTAATCTGGTTCAACCTCATTGGACCATCTAATAATTGCATTGATACCAAATTTATCATGCACGAAAAACAAAGTAAATATATTGCAGACTGATTTGTCTCAATTTAATTGATGTATCATAGGACCCACTCTCACCTACCTACAGTGTACATGTATAGACGGTATTGATAGCAAAGGAAATTTTTGCATTACAGTTACCTATTACTTACAAATACTCAAACTCACTCTTGATATTTATTAATTAATTGTTATTGACTTACTTTGAGAACTAAAGCTATAAACTATTTGTTAGACTCAAGTTAATGCAGAATATATTATTTTTGGACAATTAAAACAATAATATTATCATTATTATGATAATTATAAAATAATATTTTCAAGTATAGGGTCATCTTTGCTTACATTATTGTTTACCATTGCCTCATTGGCATCATACCATAGGATTTTGCATATAAAAGGCATCATGATAAATAGGCCTGAATTAACTGCAAACAGTTATAAAGAGCTTGTGAAACCTAGTACAGTAATTGGTGACATTCTTAGCATTTTGGGTGTCATATAAGGTGCTTGCGATACTTAATAAAGTAATTCATATTGGTGAAATATTTAGCTCTTTGGATGTAATACTGAAGGCGATATGTTAAAATTCCTTGACATGTGATGTGAGCTGATGCTCTACAGTGACGTATAGCGACACTCAAAAATCAATAAATTAATCAATATTTATAATACAAATATACATCTTCAAAAAATAAATTAACACCATGCGAGGCACTGACAGTTCATCTCCAGCAACACATTATACTAAATATATTAACCTCTTTTTATGACTGAACATCGCTATTCCTGATTCAACTGTTAGTACCTGTATTTGTGCTATTTATATCATCCATTTCCTCCAATGGAGAGCAAAATGTCTGACTCAAAATGCAGGTATAAGAAAAGTCTGTTTGGAATTGCATCTTGCTAATTAAAAGAGTTATTGCATTGAGATCACAAAAGGTGCCATTTCTAATTCGACTTATGTTTAGTATCATTGATATACTAATAATTATTTATACAACATTGCAAAGCAGCCTGTTTGTCACCAGTGAAAATAAAATCTTACAGAAATGGTATTTTGACAAGCTGCATGAAGACTAGGTCTTGACAAGCTTCTCACTTTAATTCAGCCATCATTGCAGTGAAATCTGATAATCTTTGATAATCGGGATCTGAAGGAACAGTGTTCATATACTCCTCATCCTCACAAAGCACGTTAGATCCAGCAATCAACAGTTTGCATGGAAGGCCATCTGCAAATTTGGAGTAATGTTCCACAAGAGATGTGACGTCAGGCAACACTCTGTCAAAACCCTGTTGACAAGACAGTGACATTTTAATTTACAAATTGAATGAAAGTGAACTTCTAACTAATATGAGTGGAACAATGTTAATACCACCACCTTTGAGGCCCTAAATATTAGGGGGTTTTCGGGATAACTTAAGGTAATGTCATGACAGATCTACACTGTATGATTATCACAACAGATGATAAATAATTGCACACAACATAGGGATACGTGGTCCAAAAAACCCTACCTGTATCATGACACCATCTTTGACTTTAACAATCAAAAAGTTTCCAAAGCCACTGGGTTTGGCCTCCCAAGGAACCCGCATGGTCAAGGCATAGCAACCAGGTTTACTTTGACTGTCTCGCACAAAAAATGATCCCTCTTCTGATTTCTCTAACATCTCAGTGACAAACTCCCTAAAAGAAAAAAAAACACCATGTCATAATGGGATATTATTGCTGCTGCCAATGATGATAATAAGACTATCAATAACATATTAATAAAATGGAAGATTCCTTGCTAACTGATGACCAAAAAAATGATAACAGTGTTGCACCTCTCTTATTCAACAACCAATCTAAGGCAAAGTTGGTATGTTGCATCATTTTTCAGTCATACTCATGTTCCATACCTTTGAGAAGGATTATATGGTAACTAAGCATACAACGACAGACATATTCTGTTAATATGCAGTCTGTGGAAATTTGAGAAGAATTGACCAAAACAACCAACAGCATTTAATTAGACAAAGTAGAGCATTAAAGTTACAAACCTGGGTATTCCAGCCATGTACCAATTTTCATCTTCATGACTGTTACGCTTTGAGACGGCCTCATGTTTACTGCTCCCTGCAAACTCATTATTTGCCGCTAGCATATTTGGGTCCGAGGCAGACTTAGCTAGTGGCGACATCCTGACACCCTGCTTGGCAGTCACGCCATTGGATATCTTAATATTATCACTGCTGGACAGTGGAGGTGTATAAGACTGTTCTCGTGCAGGTTTGGCAGGTTGCTCCTTATCAGGTGGAATGTAAAATTTTTGTTCTGCCGGTTTTTGTGATGTACTTTGCACTGAATCAGCAGGTGCACCGATTTTCCTTTCTGCCACTGGACTACCATCAGTGACTGCATCTGAAGGACTTGACTTCTTTTCAGCTACCTTCTGGCCACCGCCATCCTGCAGAATATTTGACCTACGGACCTCAGGAGGGGTATGGGCTTTACCAAATGACCTCCGTCTTCCAAGTGGTGATGCTTGAGAAGAGGAAGTGGTGGCTTCCACTGCTGCTGTTGCGGGTGTGGCTTGTTTCCTTGGTGTCAATGGACTTTTATGTGGTGACTTCTCCTGTTCCTTTTTTAACCTTGCCTGAATTGCATGCTGAGAGTGCTCATGACCCTGCTGGGCCTCAAGCCTTGCCTGGAAAGTGAATGACGCAACTGTGAATAAATCATGTTAGCATAGCGGTAGTCCACTTGTAACAAAATTTATTGTTACTTACAACTTAATTTAAAATTTACTGCTGCAGCATTTTTAGTTTAATATTAATTATTATTGGGGAGTAGCTTTGGTGCAGTGGTGAGAGAGCTCACCTCCCACAAATCTCGCCTGGGTTCAACTCCAGCCTGGTGTCATATACAGGTGTATGAGTCAAGTTTGTTGTTCAAAATAATGTTCTCGCCTTACTGTGAGGGTTTTTCTCTGGGTTCTCCGGTTTTCCTCCCTCCTGAAAAACCAACATTTCCAACTTCTAATTCGATCAGGATAGAGGAGCCACATGAAATCTTCTAGGGCTGATGTGGCATTCCTCTCTAAATATCTAAATTCTTTTCTTATTTAAATATTATAATTTAAAGAAGATATAGTTTTGGTGTCACCTTGTTGCCATCATTAAATGCAGATTTAAGACTTTAATCTGCATTTGATAATGGTGACAAGATGATTCCGAAATGTCATGTTCTAGGGTTTATTTTTCTTTTAAAAATATAATTTAAACTTTTCAAAGTTTGGGACATCCCATTTTTGAGCCACTTGATACATACCCATCGCCTTCCTTGCACAATTTGTTTATCAGAGGCTTCTGTCTTGAATTGTTCCAATTTAAGTTCTGTTCCTTTTGGGAACTTTGATTCTGCAAATGCCACTTGAAATGCTTTCCCAACCAAAGCTGTAAGGTTCTGAACCTGTTGTTCAGATAAAACATCATGTCACTGTAACATTCACCTTGTTTACCTCAATCACTAGACAAGTACTTCTCATACATGACTCAATCATAAATTAAAGTGAAATCATAGAGGACTATACTGTCAATTAAAGCTGTATGCTGACTAAAAGGACTTTTCTATTCATGAATGAGAGGACATAACTGTGAGGGTTGAGGGTCTTAACAAAAAGCAAAGTCAGCGCATTATGGTTAGACTTGAACTGTGTTCATTTCAACACACCACTATACCACCACACCACATGCACTTTTATTATTTGTTTTATTTTGCACCACACACACAATAGGGATAGAGTAAAAAGAAGCAGGAGTAGAAGTAGAAGGGACTGGTCACCTCTTCTCAACAAGGTACATGTATGAAGACATGGCCTTCTTATTGCCAAAGAAATCGTTATTCATGATGTTACTTATTTGAGGTACCTTTCTTATCTACATATCAGTGAGTTTTTCTTACCTGCCTTGTATACTTAGACAAGAAGACATGGCAGTGAATAGCTGTCCCCAGCGGAGAGGGAATGTGAGACATGTAAGCAAACAGTCTAAACTCTGGGTCACAAGTCGCAAAAGAAATTCTCTGCAGTGGATGGGCCATTCTAACACGCTATCAATGAAACAATAACAAGGACAGTTACAACTGATATTTATTTTCACAATAAACTGTCAGCATGCTGTTGTGCTCGGTAGTCCCGAGTTCAATTCTTGGTCATGCTTGTAAATACAGTAGCCAACTGGTCTGCCTCCTGCCAGTTGGGATTCTTAACCAAATTATGTTCATTTATGTTGTTAGTATTTGTTTTCATCATTTGTTTCCATGGGCCCTGAAAACCCGATTGGAGGAATGGTCAAAACTTTAAAGTATTTAATTCTTTTATTTAATTTTAACTCATAACAATCCCCTCTACTAAACTACAGAGATACAAAAACCTCTGTCAGAACCATATAATTTCCCCACCCCAATTATCAAACTTAAGAGAACAAATGATGTACAAGCTAGACTAAATAAGAACAAAAAAATTAATTACCTGGCCATCAGGAGATATAACCTTAATTCCATCAGTTGAGATTAGAATAGCGACACCAACACCTCTCTGAGCATACTGAAAATTATAGATGTCAACTTAATAATAATGCTGCAAGTATTAAATTGTAATGTACCTGAGATGATGTACCTTGCATATTATGTGAGTATATGAGGTCTGAGAGTAACCAACATATCATAGGCCTTGTCATCATGTACCAGAAAATTATTAATACTAAGAAATAAATAAATTTGTGAGAAAAATGTCCATGGCAATGTGACAGTAGGTGAGAATTAAAAACAATCAGTAAATAAGAATACTTTACATTCTGATTATGTAGTTCCAGAAAATATCCATACCTCGACCAGGGAAGGGACCTCCCATCCTTCTGCAAATTCTAATTAAGCTTGGTACATTGTTTTAAATGTTTTGATCTTCAAGAAGCCCCAGATCCCCCAGGAGATTCCAATCCCTTCTGTGGGGTAGTGTGGATATTAATTTTCTGGAACTGCACATTATAAATTGACCTTGGGACTGAAAGTGTAATTCTGCCAGATGGTACAAGATGGAAAACATGACTCCTTCAAAAAGTGTTTTAATAATGAATGAATTAATGTGAGTCCTTTACTCTCAGTATACCTCATGTAGAATTCAAAGTACTGTAGGAGAAAAAATGTACAGTATTAATTAAGCAGTAAAAAAGACTCAACCTACCCGATATTCATTAAGTTTCTTTTTAACAAATCTTGTTCTTTCCTTGTGAGTTTTTAAAGTATTTTCATCTTCTCCACCAGTGCCAAGACTGACAGCAAATGTTCCTATATACTGTATAAAAAGATTATTAAAAACGAGATTAGAAGAGGTACGGTTGGGAAACCCAGACCAGTCTATGATGCCTTAATTTGACTGAAGATATCTTATACTGTTCAAACTTCATTTCTTGACTTATTTCCCCATCACAGCATCCCCAGAGGTTGGGGTTATTGCAAGCTATATAGCCACAGGTGCCCCAAGCGTCCTCTTGTACGCTAAATTATGAATGGGAAGATACAACAAAGAGAAAGTTGTTTATCATTCAGAAATGCAAAATGAAGAAGACCAGTTAGGAATGCCCCAGAAAACTGTTCTGTTGTTGTATTTTATTGCTGTTTGTGCACGCCTTGGTGCAGAAATCTTAAGAGCTTATAAAATTTATTCAGTGTCACAAATTTGTTTGACAGGCAATATCAATCGGTGTTTGGCGATATTGGGTTACATATTCTATATACACGCACACAAAAACTATACTTCTAACCTTATTACGACTCTCAAGAAAAACAATCTCGAACAATTACACTTTTACATCTAGTCTTAAGATGAAGTGTACGTGACAAATTCGTTACTCACGTACAAAATAGAGGAAATTTCTCCGGAGATCAATCACATGCCACAGAATCAGGACCTTGCATTTTCGCGCCCGATTAAAAGTGGACCTATTTGTTGCAGTTTAGCTGGAATGGTGTAAAATACTTCACATTTGGACAAAAAGATTGGTCATTTAGATAGGAAAATAGTTCAAAGTACAAAAATCCTACAGACTAAAAATTAAGACTTTATGAAAAATAAACATTGCCCAAGCTAGTTGTGCGCGTATAAACTTGATTTTTCTTGAAATTCCGTTTATTACTTAAAAGTAAAAAGACATAAAACTGTAATAATTCTGTAGATACCTGACAATTTTGCTTGGGTCCCAATAACTGAGGCTGGTTTTCTGCGGGAGCCAAGTCAACAAATCCCTGGGAGTCGAAGCCATCCGTTTGATCACACCGATCTGAAAACGTAAATTCGCCATTTGCATTTTCGTCCGCAAATGTCGAATCTGTGCTGATCTTCGAAGACCGATTTTCTTGCTNGTCATCATTTGGCTAATTTGCATATTTTAAAAGCTTGAATATCTCAGGAACAAAAAGAGACATTTGAAAATAGTAAACGGCATTTTTCTTCTCATAAAGGCTACTTGTTTATGTTTTAAAATGGGTTAGATAGGAGAGATGCGATTTTCGTCATAGTACCACTTTAATGTAGAATATATTATTTTTGGACAAATAAAACAATAATATTGTAATTATTACGATAATTATAAAATAATATTTTAAATTATAGGGTCATCTTTGCTTACGTTATTGTTTACCTTTGCCTCATTGGCGTTATACCTTAGGACTTTGCATATAAAAGATGTCATGATAAATAGGCCTGAATTAACTGCAAACATTTACAAAGAGCTTGTGAAACTTAGTACAGTAATTGGTGACATTCTTAGCATTTTGGGTGTCATATAAGGAGCTTGTGATACTTAATAAAGTAATTCATATTGGTGAAATATTTAGCTCTTTGGATGTAATACTGAAGGAGATATTGTAAAATTCCTTGAGATGTGACGTGACCTGATGCTCTACAGTGACGTATGGCGACACTCAAAAATCAATAAATTAATCAATATTTATAATACAAATATACATCTTCAAAAAATAAATTAACACCATGCGAGGCACTGACAGTTCATCTCCAGCAACACATTATACTAAATATATTAACCTCTTTTTATGACTGAACATCGCTATTCCTGGTTCAACTGTTAGTACCTGTATTTGTGCTATTTATATCATCCGTTTCCTCCAATGGAAAACAATATGTCTGACTCAAAATGTAGGTATAAGAAAAGTCTGTTTGGAATTGCATCTTACTAATTAAAAGAGTTATTGCATTGAGATCACAAAAGGTGCTATTTCTAATTCGACTTATGTTTAGTATCATGGATACACTAATAACTATTTATACAACATTGCAAAGCAGCCTGTTTGTCAACAGTGAAAATAAAATCTTACAAAAATGGTATTTTGACAAGCTGCATGAATTATAGACTAGGTCTTGACAAGCTTCTCACTTTAATTCAGCCATCATTGCAGTGAAATCTGATAATCTTTGATAATCGGGATCTGAAGGAACAGTGTTCATATACTCCTCATCCTCACAAAGCACGTTAGATCCAGCAATCAACAGTTTGCATGGAAGGCCATCTGCAAATTTGGAGTAATGTTCCACAAGAGATGTGACGTCAGGCAACACTCTGTCAAAACCCTGTTGACAAGACAGTGACATTTTAATTTACAAATTGAATGAAAGTGAACTTCTAACTAATATGAGTGGAACAATGTTAATACCACCACCTTTGAGGCCCTAAATATTAGGGGGTTTTCGGGATAACTTAAGGTAATGTCATGACAGATCTACACTGTATGATTATCACAACAGATGATAAATAATTGCACACAACATAGGGATACGTGGTCCAAAAAACCCTACCTGTATCATGACACCATCTTTGACTTTAACAATCAAAAAGTTTCCAAAGCCACTGGGTTTGGCCTCCCAAGGAACCCGCATGGTCAAGGCATAGCAACCAGGTTTACTTTGACTGTCTCGCACAAAAAATGATCCCTCTTCTGATTTCTCTAACATCTCAGTGACAAACTCCCTAAAAGAAAAAAAAACACCATGTCATAATGGGATATTATTGCTGCTGCCAATGATGATAATAAGACTATCAATAACATATTAATAAAATGGAAGATTCCTTGCTAACTGATGACCAAAAAAATGATAACAGTGTTGCACCTCTCTTATTCAACAACCAATCTAAGGCAAAGTTGGTATGTTGCATCATTTTTCAGTCATACTCATGTTCCATACCTTTGAGAAGGATTATATGGTAACTAAGCATACAACGACAGACATATTCTGTTAATATGCAGTCTGTGGAAATTTGAGAAGAATTGACCAAAACAACCAACAGCATTTAATTAGACAAAGTAGAGCATTAAAGTTACAAACCTGGGTATTCCAGCCATGTACCAATTTTCATCTTCATGACTGTTACGCTTTGAGACGGCCTCATGTTTACTGCTCCCTGCAAACTCATTATTTGCCGCTAGCATATTTGGGTCCGAGGCAGACTTAGCTAGTGGCGACATCCTGACACCCTGCTTGGCAGTCACGCCATTGGATATCTTAATATTATCACTGCTGGACAGTGGAGGTGTATAAGACTGTTCTCGTGCAGGTTTGGCAGGTTGCTCCTTATCAGGTGGAATGTAAAATTTTTGTTCTGCCGGTTTTTGTGATGTACTTTGCACTGAATCAGCAGGTGCACCGATTTTCCTTTCTGCCACTGGACTACCATCAGTGACTGCATCTGAAGGACTTGACTTCTTTTCAGCTACCTTCTGGCCACCGCCATCCTGCAGAATATTTGACCTACGGACCTCAGGAGGGGTATGGGCTTTACCAAATGACCTCCGTCTTCCAAGTGGTGATGCTTGAGAAGAGGAAGTGGTGGCTTCCACTGCTGCTGTTGCGGGTGTGGCTTGTTTCCTTGGTGTCAATGGACTTTTATGTGGTGACTTCTCCTGTTCCTTTTTTAACCTTGCCTGAATTGCATGCTGAGAGTGCTCATGACCCTGCTGGGCCTCAAGCCTTGCCTGGAAAGTGAATGACGCAACTGTGAATAAATCATGTTAGCATAGCGGTAGTCCACTTGTAACAAAATTTATTGTTACTTACAACTTAATTTAAAATTTACTGCTGCAGCATTTTTAGTTTAATATTAATTATTATTGGGGAGTAGCTTTGGTGCAGTGGTGAGAGAGCTCACCTCCCACAAATCTCGCCTGGGTTCAACTCCAGCCTGGTGTCATATACAGGTGTATGAGTCAAGTTTGTTGTTCAAAATAATGTTCTCGCCTTACTGTGAGGGTTTTTCTCTGGGTTCTCCGGTTTTCCTCCCTCCTGAAAAACCAACATTTCCAACTTCTAATTCGATCAGGATAGAGGAGCCACATGAAATCTTCTAGGGCTGATGTGGCATTCCTCTCTAAATATCTAAATTCTTTTCTTATTTAAATATTATAATTTAAAGAAGATATAGTTTTGGTGTCACCTTGTTGCCATCATTAAATGCAGATTTAAGACTTTAATCTGCATTTGATAATGGTGACAAGATGATTCCGAAATGTCATGTTCTAGGGTTTATTTTTCTTTTAAAAATATAATTTAAACTTTTCAAAGTTTGGGACATCCCATTTTTGAGCCACTTGATACATACCCATCGCCTTCCTTGCACAATTTGTTTATCAGAGGCTTCTGTCTTGAATTGTTCCAATTTAAGTTCTGTTCCTTTTGGGAACTTTGATTCTGCAAATGCCACTTGAAATGCTTTCCCAACCAAAGCTGTAAGGTTCTGAACCTGTTGTTCAGATAAAACATCATGTCACTGTAACATTCACCTTGTTTACCTCAATCACTAGACAAGTACTTCTCATACATGACTCAATCATAAATTAAAGTGAAATCATAGAGGACTATACTGTCAATTAAAGCTGTATGCTGACTAAAAGGACTTTTCTATTCATGAATGAGAGGACATAACTGTGAGGGTTGAGGGTCTTAACAAAAAGCAAAGTCAGCGCATTATGGTTAGACTTGAACTGTGTTCATTTCAACACACCACTATACCACCACACCACATGCACTTTTATTATTTGTTTTATTTTGCACCACACACACAATAGGGATAGAGTAAAAAGAAGCAGGAGTAGAAGTAGAAGGGACTGGTCACCTCTTCTCAACAAGGTACATGTATGAAGACATGGCCTTCTTATTGCCAAAGAAATCGTTATTCATGATGTTACTTATTTGAGGTACCTTTCTTATCTACATATCAGTGAGTTTTTCTTACCTGCCTTGTATACTTAGACAAGAAGACATGGCAGTGAATAGCTGTCCCCAGCGGAGAGGGAATGTGAGACATGTAAGCAAACAGTCTAAACTCTGGGTCACAAGTCGCAAAAGAAATTCTCTGCAGTGGATGGGCCATTCTAACACGCTATCAATGAAACAATAACAAGGACAGTTACAACTGATATTTATTTTCACAATAAACTGTCAGCATGCTGTTGTGCTCGGTAGTCCCGAGTTCAATTCTTGGTCATGCTTGTAAATACAGTAGCCAACTGGTCTGCCTCCTGCCAGTTGGGATTCTTAACCAAATTATGTTCATTTATGTTGTTAGTATTTGTTTTCATCATTTGTTTCCATGGGCCCTGAAAACCCGATTGGAGGAATGGTCAAAACTTTAAAGTATTTAATTCTTTTATTTAATTTTAACTCATAACAATCCCCTCTACTAAACTACAGAGATACAAAAACCTCTGTCAGAACCATATAATTTCCCCACCCCAATTATCAAACTTAAGAGAACAAATGATGTACAAGCTAGACTAAATAAGAACAAAAAAATTAATTACCTGGCCATCAGGAGATATAACCTTAATTCCATCAGTTGAGATTAGAATAGCGACACCAACACCTCTCTGAGCATACTGAAAATTATAGATGTCAACTTAATAATAATGCTGCAAGTATTAAATTGTAATGTACCTGAGATGATGTACCTTGCATATTATGTGAGTATATGAGGTCTGAGAGTAACCAACATATCATAGGCCTTGTCATCATGTACCAGAAAATTATTAATACTAAGAAATAAATAAATTTGTGAGAAAAATGTCCATGGCAATGTGACAGTAGGTGAGAATTAAAAACAATCAGTAAATAAGAATACTTTACATTCTGATTATGTAGTTCCAGAAAATATCCATACCTCGACCAGGGAAGGGACCTCCCATCCTTCTGCAAATTCTAATTAAGCTTGGTACATTGTTTTAAATGTTTTGATCTTCAAGAAGCCCCAGATCCCCCAGGAGATTCCAATCCCTTCTGTGGGGTAGTGTGGATATTAATTTTCTGGAACTGCACATTATAAATTGACCTT